TTGTAAACGAACACCGACACCGCAGATGCAGTACGTCTCGGGAAGTGGTTTTACGACTTCTGTCGTGACCTTGTCTTCGGCGCAACGTGCGAGCATGCGGTGCTTCCAGTTGCCGTGTTTAAGTGTTGTGCGAGGAGACTTTGCGTAGAAGCATCGTAGCTGTGGATGTCTGTGCTTCACTTTTCGCGTGAGAGAGCTTGCAGTGCGCCCGCGTCAGTGCCGATGCTGCAAAAGACGTAGCTGTGCTTGTGTGTCGCGCGTGGAGACTTTGTCTAGAAGCTGCGTAGCAGGAGCTGTTTGTCTTCCTTGCGTTGCCGTGACAGAGCTTGTAGCTTGACGAGCTATGCGTCTTGCTTGAGTTTGCAGCGCGCCCGAGGCAGGGCGTTGTGCCGTCTTTGCACTAGACATGCTTGCGTGTTTTGCGCGGAGACTCTGTCTCTAGAAGCTGCGCAGCTACCGCTGCGTGTCTTGCTTGCGTTCGTGTGACAGAGCTAGCCGCGCGCCCGAGTCAGCGCGTTGTGCCGTGTTTGCGCTAGACGTACCTGTGCTTGCGTGTTGTGCGAGGAGACTGTGTCGAGCACCGATGCAGCGTCAGCGCCGTGTCTTGCTTCAGTTCGCGTGAGAGAGCTAGCCGCGCGCCCAGGTGGCACGTCGTGCCGTGTTTGCAGAGCCTGCAGCGGCCGTGTGTGAGCGCGTGTGGCCGTCTTGCATGCTTGCGCGCGTGCACGCTGCAGCGTTCCGGGTTCACACTGCAGCTATAGCCTTAGCTTCGAGACTCACAGCGGTGGTGCAATGCCGACTGCTGGCTGGGTGAAAATGACGGAGAAGGAGCGGGCCTTGGCCCGGCGGTGGTACGACGAGGGGAAGTCGCCGTCAACCATTGCGGAGTTGCTGGGCCGCGACGCGTCCACCCTGACACGACTGCTATGCAAGCAGGAGGCAGCCAAAAAGCAGGGTCGACCCTGTGCTTTGAGCAAGGCCCAGGTAGACTATCTTGAGCGGAAGCTGGATCAAATGATCGTGAAGGCGGACGGCCAGAAGATGATCACGGTGGAGGCTTTGCAGAAAGCAACCAAAACAAAAGCTGGCACGCAAACCATCCTGAAAGCTCTCCACGACCGCGACATCTACTTTCGCAAGTTGCGCGAGAAGCCTGTGCTCACCCCAGCCGACGTCAAAGCCCGCAAGACGTTTGCCAGCACCTATCGGCATAAGTCGCGTGCATGGTGGCTGCAGCAAGTGCACGCCTTCATCGACGGCAAGTACTTCCAGGTTCCTTGCTTCCCGTGTCTGCGTCAGAGCGGTGCGTTCGTTTGTGTTGTCTTGCGTCTTGCCAGGTATACTTGACTGGAGCCGAGCGTGCCAGGGCAGCGAAGCACAACACTTTCGGCGCCTATCGACGCCCCGGAAAGGGCCTCTGTGCCGGCTACGTCAAGCCAAAGAAGGGTGGCCTCAAGCACTACACAGGGGTGAAGGGTGTGCTGTTGCAAGTCGGCATTGGTGGCGGCAAAGTTGTGACCGTGCACGAGGTGACCGGCCGCTGGAGTGGGCAGGCGGCCGTCACCTTTTATGAAGCTCTCGGTCGTGGGCTGGCCAAGGCATGGCCGGGCAAGCGCAAGTATAGGATCCTCGAGGACAATGATCCGACGGGATACAAATCGGCGAAAGGCGCGCGGACCTTGCCATGACTGCTTGGGGGGTGTTCGGCGTCCTTGTGCTCCTTCTGTGTGCATCTGTGTCTGTGCATGTTGGCAGGTCAGGCAGCGAAAGTGCAGGGGAACATGGACGTGTTGGAGATCCCCAAGCGAAGCCCGGACCTCTCCTTACTAGACTTTGCAGTCTGGAAGGAGGTGAACCGGCGCTTGCGCAGTCAAGAGAAAGCCTGGCCGAAATCCAGACGCGAGACACGCCCGAACTATATCCGCCGTTTGAAGCGCACCATCCGGAACTTGCCCAAGGAGTTTTTGGAGAACAGCATTGGAGACATGGTCCGCCGCTGTCAAAGGCTCCAAGAAGCCAAGGGGAACTTTATCGAGGAGGGCGGCCACGGACGGTGAGATTGCTGTGCCAGGTTGAGGGCAAAACAGCGTGCATCCCTGAGGGGGGCTAGGTGGGGTGGTCTGGAGGGCCGGCCTCCTGGCCTGCCCGCCCTGGGCCTGGCTGGTGGGGGCGTGCTTGGAGCCTCCCCGCTTGGCTGGAGCTCCTGGCCTGCACCCTGCCTGGGCCTGTGCCCTGGCTGGTCTGGGGCATGCCTGGCCCTGGACAGGGCGCCTGGCTGGCCACCTCGCCTACTTGCAAACGTAGTTCCTATTTGCAAACTATTTGCAAACTATTTGCAAACCTATTTGCAAACCTATTTGCAAACTCCACTTTAAAGAGATTCACGATTGCACGCTGGCACAATAAAGAAACCGACAAAGACATGTCTTCTCTTTGCTTGTCAGTCCTGCGCATGAAAGGAATCTCTTTAAAATTGGAGTTTGCAAATAGGTTTGCAAATAGGTTTGCAAATACTTTGCAAATACTTTGCAAAGAGGAACTAGGTTTGCAACTAGGCGCCCTGCCTCCTGCCCTGCCCTGCCCTGCCCTGCCCTGCCCTGCCCTGCCCTGCCCTGCCCTGCCCTGCCCTGCCTTGCTGCCCTGCTGCCCTGCTGCCCTGCCCTGCCCTGCCCTGCCCTGCCCTCCCCTCCCTGCCCTGCCCTCCCCTGCCCTGCCCTCTGCCCTGCCCTGCCCTCACCTGTGTCTTGCTATGTCGAGCTTGCAGCATGTGGCGTCACAGCGTCTTGTGCAGTGTTCCGGCAGCTGTGCTTGCGTTTACGCGACTTCGCTGTAGAAGCTCTGCTTCAGTTTCCGTGACACACCGTGTTCTACCGTGTTGCACCTTGAGAAGCCGGCCCCTTCAAAGCCTAGCGATGCTAAAGCCAAGCCAGCAGTGTGAGTTCAAGCCAAAGCGCAGCAACGCCGCTCATCGCAGCACACTTTGGCTCCTTACCGTGCCCTGTGTCATGTCGAGCTCCAGCTCCGACGACTCTGACGACCAGACACCCCCTGCAAAGCCAGACTGGTTCACGGACGAGGATGCGGCAGCTCGAAGCCTAGTGTTTCTCGTGACGTTCGCTGCCATCCTGGATGCGACAGCACTGGCGGCAGAGCTTCCTTTGAGAAGCTTGGACGGCTTGTCTCGAGAAGACATCAAGGCTGCCCTCCTTGATGCCGTGGAGCACCCTGTGCAGGACGCCAACCCACGGGGTGGCAGACCCCGCTCAGCAGTGCTGGAGGCGCAGAAGCTCGTGGTCTTCTTGGAGGAACCGCGACACTTCCACGTCGCCTTGCGGCTTAGTGCAGTGTCGCGGTTCCTGCCCTTGAAGACCGCGCTGCGTCGGCGTGCGGGTCTGGCATCGCACTGGAGTACTTCCCACACGCAGTGGTGGAGTGCTGTGCGCTACGGGACCTTCACGACGGAACGGAAGCCTGCAGTCGACCAGAGACCTCTGGTGTGGGTTAAAGCACTTGGAGTTCTGGAGCCAGTAGAGGCAGGGCCAGCTGCTGTCCAGGAGTACAAGGACCCTGCCTCAGGCAACGTTGTCGTCAACCTCTACGAGGAAGCGCAGCAACCCTTCAGCTCCTCACTGTGGACCAAGCGTCGGCAACAGCGCGAAGCTGCAGCAGCCGGCGAAGCAGCTGCAGCTGGCCGGAAGCCTAAGGCCGCCAAGTTCACGCCTCTGGACTTCACGGCTCTGGTCCTGGAAAAGAACCTCCGCACACCCAGCGCTGTCCTCGCCTACGTGCAAGAGCACGGGTCGGAAGCGGCCCAGCTGTACTGTTTGCGTAACCAGAAGCGGTTGCCGGAGCTGCTTGCTGGAGCAGAACAGTGGCAGGATGCGAAGCGCCAGCGTGCTCTGGAGTTGGAGACAGACTGGGCTTTGGTGCAGCGTCTCGCGGGACAGACCTGCACGTGCAGCGGGGAGTGCAAATGGGCCACAGCTGCGAGCGACTTCTTCCGCAGAAACCGTGCCAGTGTGGATTCAGAGTTGGTCGCAGCGAGTCTGGCCCAGGTTATCTGCTGCGGTCCCTGCAAAACGGCACGGGTGCCGCTGATTGCGGGTGTGACAAACGCTGGCAAGAGCTTGATGTTGGACCCTGTGATCAATGTCTTTGGTCCACAAGCCATCGACTACTGCCCTGCGCAGGGCGCCACTATGGCATTGAGCTCTCTGGCCACCAACCGACGGTTGCGGTTTATTTACTGGGACGAATTCTCGCCTACAGAATTCGCGGCAAGGCCGCCGAAGGCGCCGACTGTGCCAGCCGTGACCTTCAAGAAGCTCTTCGCAGGGCAGTACTTCCGCGTCCAGGTCTCTCAGGCGCACCACGATGGCAACCCCGACTTTCGGTGGACCCGTGGTGCGGCCATGACGGCACCGCTGGAAGGGCTCTGGGACGTGGCCGGGCCTGTCACACGCGAGGATGTACGACACATGCAGTCTCGCGTTGTGCAGTTCGATGCTCATGTCAGTATCGAGGGGCCCTTGCAGGCAATCCCGCACTGCGCCGAGAGCTGGTGCCAGTTCGTGGTGCAGGCATCCGCTGCTTATGCAGCGCGGCGACCGCCGCAAGTACAGGAGCGTCCCATCGAAGATGACGACCTGTAGGCTTTACTAGCCTTGTCGCTTCCGTGTCTCACAGCAGATTTGTAAACGAACACCGACACCGCAGATGCAGTACTGTTGCTACGAAAAATCCTGCATCGATTTGTCGACACAGGTCTCTCCCCCCGCAACCCCCGAATCTTAATATTGAGCCCAAAGGCACCGAAAGGGCGACAGGCGCGAATAGTAAAAATCCTGCATGACCCGATGGCCTCAACAACATTGAAATCGGGGCGAGGGCAGAAGTCGTCCAGGTCGTCGCTAACACTGTTAGTAGACAGGTCATGCAGGATTTTTACCATCCACCGTAGTACCTTCCTCAATCCCCTCGGTGGTGACCGGGACTCCGGCCTGTGGAAAGCAGCTCTGCGTCATCCAACCCTTGCAAGACACGATAAGCATCCTTAGATTCGATGCAGGCAAGGCAGCGAGAGCATCGTCGAAGTGACATCCACTCTCTCGCTCTCAGAGACTCTTGCGCAGGAGTCCATGCATTAGAGGGCTGGATCTTGGAGCACTTTGGCGGCTCAGATGCCTTCTGACTTCCTTACGTCCCCCCGTCCCGAAACCCTAAACCCCTTGCAGTCTCAGAGTCCACGACTCGTCGGAAGGACTCCTCGCTGCCACTCGCGACATCTGGATGCGATCGCGCGGCAAGACGCCGAAAGGTGCGCCTGGGAAAGGTTTAGGTTTTAGTGTTTAGGGTTTAGGGCTATAGGGCTTTGGGGCTGTAGGGTTTTCGGGTTTAGGGTTTAGAGGGATCTGGGAATCACCTCTTCTACTCCCACACAACCTTGATGTTTGTAGCAAGGAGCCGCAACTCCTGCATGGGCGGCACATAGTCCAGCCCGAGGGCACGAAGGGCCTGAAACCGAATTGAGGAACCCTTCATGCGCTTGATTTCTCTGGTACCAGGTTATTTTAGGGCGTGAGACCAGGCTCGCCTCTGAAAACTGTCTTTGTTTGAACACCTGCGCCTCGCCTCAGCTTTGGCGGCTTGCGCAGAGGTAGCTCCACACACAGTCCGAGTTCGAAATGATGGCCTGCACCATCTCAAACATCTCAAGTGTTTTTTGCAAAGAAAAATATGCATGCTACAAGTCATGCATATCCTACAGAATGCATAGCGCATCGAAGCCGGGCAATCCAACTCGCACTTGGCCAGGTTTGACATGAATGAGAAAGCCGCTGTTGTCACAAAAGACGGCAGCCTGCCGCGCAGGAAGCACGGTGCCCACAGCAGTGGGCTGGCCAACAGCACGAGGTTGACTCTTTTCAGGCCCATAGCATCGCAGCGGCTCTGTGAAACCCATCAGTGCCTGCTGTCGTCTGGAACTCTGAACCCTGGAACCCTAAACCCTAAACCCCTAAACCCTAAACCCCTAAACCCTAAACCCTAAAACCTAAAACCCTAAACCCTGAACCCTAGGACTGTCATTCTTGCCGCATATGTTTACTCCTGCTTGTCAGATCAGAGCCGAGGCCCGATCTGCTGCAGGGTGCGGACCGCACCCTGTTTCTATTATGTGCTATAATGTATTATCCTTTTCTATAGTAGATTGTATTATACTAGACTATATTACATTAGACTACATGATATGAAAAATAGCATACTTTTGCTATTGTTGTGATAAGTACTATCAATATTACTGATAGTACTGTTTGTATTTTCCTGTAACTTGAGGCTGGGGACCCATCTGTACGAGGTCGCCATGGAGCCACAGACAGATGCAGCAAGCGGAAGCCGAAGGTCAGCCTACTGCTCGAGCTCTGAAGGCATCACACATACTCAAGAATCTACAAACTGCGAGATTAATATAATATGATCTACAATCTATACTCAATCTATACTCTACAATAGATCATAGAAAATCAGGAATATAGAATATGGTATCCAACGGCCGCCCACCTTCTGCGTCCAAAAGCAGCTGTCGGGATTGCGACCAGCGCCGGTCGCAGGTGCACTGTGGGTCCAGAACCCAGGCCAGTGCTGCCTCGGGGACCAAGGGAAACTGGCTTTACTATACTATGCTCTACTCTAGCCTATTATATTAAATTCATGTTACACTATGCTGTACTATATTATATTATACTATCTTTTCCTATACTCTATTATATTATACGATGCTATGTCATACTATATTCGATACTTATGCTATACTCTATCATACAAAACTATAGTGTACTATATTGCGCTATGCTTATGGGAAGGAACCCTCAGGAATAATAGTCTTCGAGATAGCTCCAGGGTTTCGGGCTCAGAGACTCGCAAGGCAGTGAGGCAGTCTCAGGCGACGTCGAAAAGCCGCTCGATGCCGGTGCCCAAAGCACCGCGCTGCATGTTCTGCGAGGAGCAGATGCAGAGGGTTTGGAAGTGGCAAATGCGAGACTCAAGTGGGAGCTGGCCGTACAGCACTGCACGATCTAACAAAAGCATCCAGAAAGTACCCTGCGACCGTGTACCGAATCTGATCCCGCGGCGCTCCTCCGGCGGCTCTGGGTTAGCTGCCAGTTCCGCAAGCTGCTCTTCGTCAATGGACCTCTCAAAGATAAGAGTCACGAGGAGACGCAGCTCAAAAACCCGATTCAGGCCACCAGAATCATGATAGATTCTCTGCAAATTCTGTTGGAATATCTGAGCATCCTCGGCTACCAACCATTAGTTTAATTTCTCTCTGTCGCGTCTGAGAGCCTCTGAGAAAAAGCGCCATCTGTTCGGCTCTAGCCTCTGATTACACAATGCCGACATACCCCCTCGGAGTGTGCGCACATCTGGCACTGAAACCTGCTCTTTTCAATGGAAACTTCGTTCGGCATCCGCCTCGCAATGCGCTTCAACGTCTGGTCGAAGCTTGGAAGTGACGCGAGCTGGACAGACATGATCCCCTGCACAAGGATGGGCATTTACGAAAGCATGACTCGACTGTCTCAGGAAGCTTAAATCGCAAGTCTCCTTGCCTTTGGGGTATGACAACAAAGCCATTCTTGCCTTTCTGTTTCAGGACCTGCTTGCAGTAGTGCGCCTCGGCCCACCGCAGCCGCTGCGCAGGCTCTGCAGCTGGAGGGCCTTAGATCGAGCACGGCACTGCCGTGAGTCGCTTTGAGGGGCAGAGTCTAAGAGCGTCACTGTTGAGAAAGGCGAGCCCAGCGCCTGACAACACATTTGCCATGCCAAGATCTGGCTATGAGATGCTACGCTGCTACACTCTGCTGGGTCCGCCACTATCAATCGCACAACGAACGTACCTGAAGGGAAGCGCGCACAGGTTGCGGTGAGGCCCGGTGGGGCAACAAAATGTCCATACAAGCTGTCGCTGGGGCACTCAACGTGTGGATAGACGATCGGGATACCCTGCTCAGCCATGGCCTGCCACAAGATAGACGAAGTTCGAGAAACAATGCTCCCTTTCCCGTGCCACAATCCATTAATGACGTTTTTCTTCTTACGAACTGCAAATCGGTTCGATGTGCTTTGGTCACTTGAAGCTTTCTCGAAAATGACGGAATACATAGAATGAAGAGATGCTTGTGCCGTTAGCCTGGCTGCAACAGGCAACCGATACATGCTGGTCAGACCTTTCGGGTTTAGGGATTATGTTTAAAGTAGGGGCCTCAATGATTAGAATAGGGCCTTGAGCCCATTATACTATAGTTACAGTAAGGAACCTTGGTAATTATTTAGGCTCCTTTATTACGGACTCGGACAGACGAGGACCCTCACCTGCCTGTAGTTGATTGCAGGCGAGGTTGGCCGCCTGCCACAGAGGCGAAAATCGGCGTGGAAAGAGCATCTTCTTTACAGGCCGCACTCGTGCACATGTGATGCTGTCATTGCTCCGATGTCCGCGTCCTAGCACGCTACCTAAGGTCATTGCAATTCATCACGTTCTGGTGCCAATAACCAGTCTTGCACTTTGACACTCACCACACCTCAACCCCCACCGAAAAGCAAAGCAGCTTCCACTGCAGCTGGGAATGAGTACGAGAAAATAATGCAGGACTGCAACGTGTGCCTGCAGGACAGAGTCCACGGTTGTGCAGTTCGGTGGTAGGGCGCACATGTTCTCCAGATCTTGGCAGCGGGGCTCTTTGCTTCAACTACAGCCAACAGCCAGTGTTGTCTATGTCGGATCAGTGATCTAAGCCCCTCTAGCTCAACCAAGGCGCCTTGAGCCACGCGAAGAACCTGTCAGAAAAACAAAAGTCGAAGCTTTAATATGCGCAAAGCTCAAGCCGAACCCGATGTCAATGCCGCCCTTCCCAAATGTAGGGGCCTAAATATTTAGAATAGCATTTTGGGGGTTCCTCTTTATAACTATAGTACTATACCCCAAACCCTGTTCTAATTGTTAATGCCCCTACATTAGCTTCAACAGCACCCAGCCTTGGTGGATTCTCTGTAGGCTTTCTCGGCCTGCTGTCACCAAGGCTGCCAGCAGCAAACTGTGACCCGTGAGGTTTCGCAAGCGGGTGTCCTAAGACGAAAGTCGGGAAGATGATTCTTGTGCACATACCGTAATATACTACAATACCATGCCATACCGTACCATGCTATTCCACAGCATACTATACTATACTTGCCTACACTCTACTACAATACAATATTATGCGATGCTATACGATACGATCCTGCATAGTACGCTGAGCGCACCATTGAGGCCGCAAGGTGAGGAGATTGGAGGAGGCCTCTGGATCATGAGCCATTCCATGAGCACTGGTATTTTCATGGTTTTGATAATAGCATATACCAGCTAGAGTGCATATTACAGTATATGTTATGGTACACAATATAGTATATACTATAGTAGAGAAGATTACAGCACACATCAGCAAATTATAGTGTATATTATGTGCGAGATTACACCTGAGACAGTGGGGATTACGTGGGTTTCCTCGTGGCTGTCATCTCGAGCTGCCATCTAAAACCCGAGCCTGGAGGCAGAAGGACATGTTTCCCACGGCATATGCCCGCAATGGCATAAACTCCTGGTAGAAGTCCTGGCTACATGCGAGACAACCAGCACGGACCGCACTCTCGCTTTGCTGATCTGGCGACCCAGCCACAGACCCTGCACGGCCCACCCTTGTGTCCTGCATGGCTTTGACAAAGGCGCTGACAGCATGGAGACCACGTTGGTAGTCGGCCTCCCTTAGAGCATTGCAGGATCAATCTATCCGTGACATGTGCTGGATTACTCCTATCCGCCGCACCTCACGGGCGGTGGAGACACGGAGTCCTGTGCACATGGGAGTGGACAGGTCTCCGCGCATTGAAGGTGGAGGTGGCCTGCATGGCATTCTCTCGCCGCCAAGAAAGAGCGTCATCGCGCTCTCGGGAGGTTTCTCGGCGCGTGAAGGTGGGACCATCCTGCACCGTGACCCGCGACACAACGTGGCCTCCTAACTCTCAGACAGGTGAGGATAGTGCGTCTTAAGTCTTACAGCTTTCGACGTTCGCTCCATCGCGTTGTCGCGTCTCCGGCTCTCGGACGAGGTGTCCCGTCTTCCGAAGGGCAACTCCTGCAGCCGTGCTCCATGAACTGCATGAACTGCATGAACTGCATGAACTGCATGCTTGCGCCCACGACCCACAAAGCGCAGAGACGCTGGGCTGCTGAGGTCCCGCTCCCGGTCGCTGTGGCGAGACCCAGGCTTCGTCTCGGGAGTCCCCGGCGTGGTCGGAATGGATCCTGGCAGAGAACTTTCAGCACTCCCGCGAAGCCCCAAAAACGAAGAGGTCACATGCGCTGGCCTAAGAAGGCAGCAGATCGCCGGCGCTGCTCAATGAACTCAACTTGGTAACTGGCCGGCAGCCCAGCCTCTCAGATGCCCCGCCAATCAGTGTCCGCTGCACACGAGCTCCCGCATTCTCCAGCCGACCTCCTCCAGCTCCTGTAGAAGACGAAGCGACGTACTGAGATTGGCCTCCACAGGTTCAAGCGACACGGGGACTCAAATCTTCACGAAGTGCAAGCACCTGTGGCACGAGAGGCTTTTTGAGCAAGCTTGTGCTCAACCTCGGCAACGTCGGTTGAAGCACTTGCAGTGTCAGGGGCTGGGTCGCTGAGAAGTTGTCTCCAAGATCTCACACACCACCTGCATCTGCCAAGGGGTGTCCACCTTTCCCAAACATCAGGTCGCAAGAGAGTTTTGAAGCTGCAATCCGGCTGAAACATGCCGTTTTACCCACACTCGCCTGCACCGAGTACTGGCCTGTTCTTGGCACTCCCCAGGCATGGCCGCGGACGAGCTGCAAAGCGGATGGACACGTCGTCAAGTCTAAGGCTTAAGCGTGTTCTTGACAGATCTGCATGTGCACTGGCGTAGTTAGGACGCTGCTGCTGGCATAGGTCCATGCCGAATATTGGGAAATAGCGACAGACCCCTTCATAAGTTTGCAATCCTGAAGCAACCTCGCCTCAGTCGTAGTGCGAAGAATGTCCATCATCGTCAACTGGCAGCAGCGGTCCAAGATCAATGCTCTCCAGCCACTGGCTGTTCAATTCATGCATCACATACCCCGCAGATGAATGCAACATGAGAAGCAAATTGGAGGCATCCTCGCCTGAAGTGACTGCTTCCGCGGAGACGTTGGAGTAGGTATCGGTGGGCTCAAGACCTCAAGCAGTGTTCTTTTGCCTCCACATGTCGCTCTCCGTCCCACATCACATGATGCAGTCTTTTTTCGGGTAACTCCTCATGTTTCTGCAACGGCCTACCCAGTAACACAGGGATTCGCCCGCCAGTGGAGCGAAGGCCCTGTCCCAGTTATCCCAAGTTCGACCTTCGTCCGTCCGCGATCCGAGAGCTTCGAACTCGAGAACGACGCGCGGCCTTTCCCTCGAGGTCTTCAGGCCACGGAACAAGTCGTGACGGCCGGCTCTGTGCAGGCACCGCTTTGTCTTGGATCTTTGGCTGTTTGGCGGATTCGCTTGGTTTGCCGCGGCGGCGCTTCCCCTCACTCTCACTGTTACAGGCAGCAGGCACGGGCAGTGCCCGCAACATTGTGTAGCCCATGGGGCACATAACTTTCTCTGTCTGCGCCTCAACCTTTCCCCCCTTGCTCACAAACTCCCTCAGTCTCTCTCCCACTGACACGTAAACCTTGAACCCGGCGAGCCCTGGCATGATCTGCGAATCACGAAGACACTTCATCTAAGCAGCACAGCACTGGAAAGCCAAGCCAACACAAGCTTCGAGCTCGAGGAGGGCTGACAGGGATCTCGATGGGCAGAGTTGCACCAATGTCACCTAAAGCCTCGGACAGAACAGTGGCATAGCCAGTAACCGCAACAGGCACAGCCCAAGTCTGGCGCGTCTGGGACCCACGCCTTTACTGTCTCATTCTTCCTGACAGAAATCGCCACCCGCCGGCCGCCCTGCTGCCACAGCTCACGAGGTGTGGTGTGGATGAGTGCTAGAAGAGTTTGGCTGAACTCCCACGAGGCCTCTCCTTCTAACCCTGTGAGGTTGCATAACCTATGTCTCCACTCTGAGGGATGCTCACGCCGGGGGGGCAATGCAACCGACCGGTACAATACGGAGTTTCCGAAAATAGAGAACCCGAAAAGCAGGATCCTTATAATAAATAAGGACCCCACAGCAAGGCACCCCTTGTTTTCGGAAACTCCCATATGCCCAGGGATCTCTGCCTGGCGTCGCTCTCCTCCTCCAGGCCGCGCCACCTACTAGCAAGCTTGATGCGGACACGGGAACTGAACTGGAAAGAAAAAAGCTTCGAAGTAAGACGAATCTTTCAAGCGTGAGTTCAAGCAAGTGAAACCTGGAAGCTATGGGCACATCATGCTTTGCAGCGTAGAGTTCTCAAATCCCAATGCCAAGGCGCCGTAGTGTCGAACATGCTGGTGCCGTAGATCAGGCATATTGCTGGATCTGCCAGTTGCCTCTCGGTTCAAGGCAACAGCTCTGTTTAAGGCCAGCAGCTGCTTCCATGCCAAACAGCATCTAACTGCAAACGGCTGCAGCTTCTCCTTTGTTCGGGACAAGCGCAGCGTCGGACGGCTGCGTAATGGTGTGAGAAATGTGTGCAAGGCTCTGCCTTGTATCTGTACAGCAGATCCTGCTACTATAAGTACCTGTACCACAGACGAGCATCAAAATAGAAACTCTGCTCTTCTGCCGAGCGGCCACCCGGGCGTGTACAAGGCAGACCCCTGCTTCGTATGTAGGCTTCTCCCCAGGCCAGCCTGGCCCACCGCCACCTTCGCCTGAAGCTTGTACCCAACAGCATGGGGCATCCGTCGGAAAAGTCCGTGTTAAGGGAATTTCGCCTGGGGAGTGCCGCTCTCGCTTCGAGGGTCTGGGACCGGAGCCGCGTCTACGCGCAGGCTGCCCTGATTTGCTAGAGTACTCACTTGGCCTTCAAGTCGTGAAGGCACAGTGAATGCCCTCAAATCAGAATAATCAGAGCAGCCCTGTCCTCCTTTGCCATCTCCCGTCGCCCCACCCAGTGCTCTGCAGGCAGTAGGGATTGGGGTTACGTGGAGTAGGGTGTAGGGATTACCATTGAAGGCTTGGAATTAGCGATGAGGGTATAGGGTCTAGGGCGACATCGTGCGAAGGCACAACATCACTGGTGAAGCACCAGTGACGAGGCTCCGGGCCGTCCTTCTCGTCGCAGTGATGCTCGTTTTGTGGGAGGAGCCTTTCTGTCGCCCGATGCAGGGATTACGGGAAACCGATTTCTCCAGTGCCCACGTTGCGAAAGGTAACAATGCAATTTGGGACTTCGAACTGAGCTGACTGCACCGGGCTTGTTCAATCCGAATATCTTGTGGAGAAGCAACCCGGTCCACCTGCCTGGATAACTTTGCATCCATTGCCCCTTCGTGCACAGCTGAGGCTCAGAGTGAGCAAGGCAGAGCAACAGCAGCTACGACAAGTTCAAGAGCTGCGTCTACACTGGGACCTTGAAATTGGCCACGCGGCGAGGCATTGTCTAGATGTAGGCTCCGATACACCAGAGCAGTGTCCCCCAGTGCAACATAAGGCCATCACCCACCCAGCAGCGATGGCATGTCCAAGTCCAGCTGCGAGCACTGCGCGATCTTCAACATCGCTGCCTGCATCTCAAGCCGCAACCGAGGCATCTAGGAAAAACAGTGGAATATGGCAGACTACGTCTGCACATGGAGCGACGTATGTACTCTGAAACACTGGCCTCGATCCGGTGCACCAATTCTTCCGACCTTGTGCATGCCCAAGTCATTTCACAACCACTTTCTGTTGATGACAACTCGGGTGAGCCATGCCGAAATGCATCACCCCATCTGGTGCATTCATCGGAACTGCGATGATAGTCTCACACCGTCGAGATTCACCGAGGGCCAGACTTGTAGTAAAGGGTACAGAACTCGGCAACAGATCAGCTGATGAGCATGTTGCAGTGCACGATGAGACATGAACAACTCTGTTCAGCTAGCGGCCACCACGCTTTCCCTGTCCCTTCGCAAGCTCTTGACGGGAGTTTGAGCCTCGGGTTTGATCAAAGCTACGACACAGAGCTAGTCACCCTCTCTTTTGAGCGCAGGACAGAAAGCTCCTTGTTCTCGAAAAGGAGTACTTGATGTTGAACCTGACAGCTCTGGCAGCTGCTCCGTGGTAAGCAGCTTGAGCCAGCTGTGCTGACAGCTCGGCCACTGGTTCAACACTTTCTCTGATGATGCTATGGCATCTTGTATATACTAGAATTCCTTAAAAACACGTGTGTTGTATTTCAGTATACTGTGGCCAATCCGGTCTTGGCACCGCACGGGCACACTCTCAACGGCCTCAGAGTGTGCTACCAGACAGCTTGGACTGCGCGCCGACAAAACAACTCTTGGCCCGCAAACCTGAAAGATAAGATCCGGGCGGCAAGGCGGTCTTGAAGATCCTGCCCCGACAGTCAACACAACGCTTTCTGGTATGAAATCGTATATCATAGTCGAGTAAAATATATTGTAGTATACTATAGCATATTCTGGTATATTGTAGTTTCTTATAGTACAAGAATTGACGAGAAGCCTTCACGGTTTGAGCTCAGCTCCTGCTACAATCACGAGAAAGCGGAGCAGAGGCACGCGCCTTCACAGTGGAGCTGATGGGCATGTGAAGGAGCGCAGCTTCCTGTAGTGAGGCTGCGACGAGACATCTTGAAAGTCACCCATTTAGAGTTGAGAGTTTAGGGCAAACTTCGGAGCAAGTCTTCGAAAAGACGAGTTGTATTGAAACGTGTCTGGGTTCGTTCATCGCCACGCTACCGGCACCTATCACAACACGGCATCGTGCGGCATGCGGCAAGCTTGCCTCGCCCGTGATCCGTATGATGAGCACATCCACCTTCCAGCGCAAGTTTGTTCTGCATCGTCACTGCCGCGTGTTCAAGGACACCGTCCCTCATGTGAGCATGCAGCATAGTCGAGATAAGGTGGCAGGGCCTTCGCCAACAAGGCACTCAAGAACGCTATGTGACGGTTGCTTGATTGACAATCGCAAAGAAAGCGGTACCCAGCATCTGTCGTCCAAGGTGGGACTGAAATTGCACTGGGCATCAGCCTCTGCAGTAAATTTGCCTCAAAGAAAACACAAAAATTGAGAAAGTACTGGAACAGATGCCACACGACAGACTCTGCACGAATAACAACCATAGTATCAGTAACAGCAATGGTAAGAGTATCGCAATCGTAATTGTAACAGTAAACATAATCGTAGCAGTCCTGCTTGATACTGCTTGTAGTTATAATAGTAGCAATAGTGTTGCGTACAGTAATCACAAAGAGTAATGCTAGTAATAATACATCAGCCCTCCACAAATAACACTTACAGCGCCAATAATATCAGTAATGATCATACTCACAGCAATAGTAATAGTAACAATAAAAGCGACTAGCAATAGCACAAGCTACTGCAATCGCAAGAGTAACAGTAATCGGAATCGCAATCGCAATCGTAGTCGTAAACGTCATAGGAATAATAGTCATAGTAAAAGAGCAATGGCCGTCATCGTCGTACGTAGTAGTAGTAGTAGTAGTAGTAGTAGTAGTAGTAGTAGTAGTAGTAGTAGTAGTAGTAGTAGTAGCAGTAGCAGTAGCAGTAGCAGTAGCAGTAGCAAGTAGTAGTAGTAGTCGGGTGGTGGTCGTAGTAATGGTAGTAGTATATACTTGTAGTGGTACTAGTAGTAGTAGTAGTAGTAGTAGTAGTAGTAGTAGTAGTAGTAGTAGTAGTAGTAGTAGTAGTAGTAGTAGTAGTAGTAGTGGCGGCAGCGGTAGTGGTAGTAGCGGCGGTCGAAGTAGCACTCAGTATCAACAGTCGTAATAGCAGTTGTACTTGTAGTCATAATAATAAACCTAAATCAAAAATATCAACAGTTGGTAATAGCAATAATCGTAGCACATATGAAGCAATATATTAACACGTGTAGTTTACCGTAACTCATAAAGCTGCCGCCTCTCTCGCCACCGTCTGGTTGTGCTTGAAGGCCCGCGAGGCCTTGCCAAAGGGCATGGAGTTTAGGGTTGAGCGCTTTAGCAGTGTAGTATTTTGGGTTCAGGGATTTAGGGTATAGGGGTCATGTGCAGGGTTTAGGGGTGTAGGGTTTAGGGTTTCACGGTTTAGGGTTCAGGGTTCAGGCTTTTGTTTTGGACCACCTTTTTCATGTTTCCTCCGCCCGGTTGAGGCTGCTGAGTCCGCGTACGGGTTCGGGTTTCAGGATGTCGGGGGCGGAGCAGGGGTGCCTTAGTTTGGGGTCCTTATAGTAAGGATCCTACAATTTAGGATACTATGTTAGGGTCCCCTAATCTCCAGGAGATCAAAATCAAGTAGCGCCTCAAGATCCTAAACCCTGAATCCTGAAAGCCCTGAAGCCCAAAACCCTCGGAGACCCTAAACCCCTGATGACCCAAAGAAGCCGAATCTTCAAAGCTTGAGCCATCCGTCGCACCTCAATACTCTTGTTCGCCCTGTGGAGGGACGCCTCGGAAGAAATGTCGAAAAGCTGAACAGGTTTGCTGAAGATGGCGCAAAAAGCAGGAGGGCCTCTCTACAATCTATCCATCCGCTGCAAGGCTTCTAGGAGGGGTGCCTCAAGGGTTCAGGTTTCCACGCTTAGGGGTTTTTAGGATTTAGACGAGGCCTCTCTGCTTAGGGGCGTAGCGACGCCGGACAAGCAAAGAGCGAGAGCCGGGCTTTGGCACCCAACTCGGACTGCCCTGAGAGTCAAAGCTTCGTCGCAAAGGCACATAACCGCGATGAAACGCCGCAGGTAGAGACGATCTCTGCGGTGTTCAGCTCCGTGCCGTTCAGCTGGGTCAAGAACTTAGCAGGTCCAGGCACATGCAACAGAGCAAAGCTTGAAAAGCGAAACACCACTGTACTACACTATAATACACGATAGTAAACTTTGATCAACGACTGTGACGAGGCTGAGACCTTGGAGCTTCTCCGCGGTTCACTCGCAACGTACACCTGTGGGCAGGATCCACCAAGGCACAAGGGAACTACGGGTACGAGACTTTCAAGGGCTTGGTGCTTAGGATCTAGGGTTGAGGGAGGGCTTCGAAAACTTAGACGGGGCCTTCACCGGCCTGATGCTAAACCGACCTTTCACCGTGCCTCGCGCTGAGGAGGCCGCAGCCCACGGCACAAGTTGCTCAGCACCTGTTTGGTCAACGGCTTAGGGTTCAGCGTTTAGGGTTTGAGGTTTCTAAACCCTACAGTAAACATTCAGGGTGTAGGGTTTAGGGTTTGAAAACCTAATTAAACCCTAAACTCAGAGCTTCTACACTCTGAAAGACGGAATGCACGAAGCGCATAACGCTCGAATGCTACAACTCATACTTTTGCTCGTTACTCGTTGCAGCTCCGGCGCTGCGTTCGACACAGATGTCACCGCCAGTGCTTCCATCACTTGTAGCCGAGCTCGTTCGACACCTAGTAAAGCATGCAAAGACAGGTTCCTTGGCCTAAAATACCGCTTCAATTCAGTCTGCCATGCAGAACTTCCACCACGCTGATGCTCGACACAACTGAGTTGGTTGCATTCTCGCACCGCTTCCGCCTGCAATCATGACGCATGCGCGCTTGGAGTCCACAACGAAGAGAACCCAACAGCATGGCAAGCAAGCGACTTCATCTTCGACTTACTGGGCTTCCAGCACTGCCACCGGCGACCGCCCAGGCCTTCAGCATAAACGCGCATACAGTATTGCGAACTCTGATTCTGATACTAAGGCCAGTGCTAGTGCTCAGACTGATACAAATACTACTACTGATACTGACACTGATGCTGATACTGATACAAGTGCCTAGTGCTAATGCGAATACTAATACGAACACTAATACGAAAACAAATACTAATGCTTCTTTGTATGAAGCATTTTTAGTAGTCAGTAGCATCAGCTGCATTATGACTATTGCTGTTCTTATCATGATGACTGTTCTGATTTGGACTACTACAATATTAAGTGCTTCAGCTCAGCAAGATGCTGAGAACGCTGCAGCACTGAAGAGCATGTCGCTCGCGAGGGAGCCCTTTGCCTCGGAAATAAGCAAACTGCTTGGGCTTCAGCGCTGAGGGTTGATAGGTTATAGGGTTTGAAGGTCTAGGGTTTAAAGGCTTACGGTTTGGGGTTTAATTAGTTCGCCCGCGTAGCTGACGCCCTGGCCACATCCTTTTTTGACCTCCCCCTTCCCCACCCCCCCCCCGTGGCTGAGGAAAACCGGGTCTATTTGGAAGCTACCGTTCGGTAAATATACTCACACAACGATTGAAGAAGCTCTTTGTTCTAGATTTTCAACGACATCTCCCCACATTTGAACGTCGCTGGCTTGCCATGTACCATCACTCAATAGAGTCATTCCGCTTGAAGTTCAAGGCTGGCCCACTGCTTTTGGGGTTAGGCATGTCTTTTCGGGTTTACGCGCCTCTGGCGCACTCTTTGCCGCCATGTCCACTCCTTTTGGGCTTCCTGGTTGTACCAAACTTGTCTCAGTCTTTGCGGTTCATGCATTCCTTTCAGGTTTCTGCCTTTTCGGCTTCAGGTTTTCTATTCGTTTTCTCGTGACAATCAACCGCTCTTTTAGCTTTTTCATAGTCTCTTACCTGGGTTTTTCGGTTCTGCACTTCATGATATCCGATTGGGTTTTTGTCCCACCATCCACTCCTACATCAGGTTCTGATATGGTTCGGGTTGTGGCAACCACCAGCCACTCAATTGAGGGTGTTGGGCTTAAGGAAGCAACCAATCTGTGTTGGATTTTAGGTCAGCTCTGCTTGGGGTTGGTGACGCACTTACCACGCATCATTTCCTAGCTTGGTTCACCAGTGTGGCCCACCCCTTCTCGGGTCCACCTTTTTGATTATTTGGCACCGTGCTTTCAATCTAAGCGGCTTAAAGTTTTCGGAACCAATCATTCCTTTTGAAGCATAGACTTTCATGTCTTGGCTTATCACCCATCTTCGCTTGTTGGCTTGGGATCTGGCCTCACATCTGAAAATGTATGTAACGTTACATACAGACCACCTATTCATTTGTAAATCTATCCGTCTACCTACCCTATCTATCTATCTATCTATCTATCTATCTACCTATCTGCTTATCTTGTTGTCCATTTATTTATCTGTCTACCTAGTGCGTTTGAGGCTGGGGAATTCCGGAACGAATCCTTGCTTCTAAAGCCTAAGCTTTCAGCGCTTTGGGACTACCGCCAATTTTCTCTCCTCGACTTCGGATCTGGCTTCATTTTGGGTGCTAGCCTATTTTGCGTGCGAAACCGTTGGAAATTCTGGCGCGTCTGCCGCGTATGTATATATGTATACCGCCACGTCAGGGTCTCTTAGCAACGTTTCGATTCTTCACTTCATGATATCCGATTGGGTTTTTGGGCCACCATCCACTCCTATATCAGATTCTGATAAGGTTCGGATGGTAGAAACCAGCCACTCGATTGAGGGTGTTGGGCTTAGGGAAGCAACCAATCTGTGTTGGAATTTAGGTCAGCTCTACGCTCAGCAGCCTGCCATTTCTTGGTGGGTTTCGAACTTACCACTCATAATCTCCTAGCTTGGTTCACCAGTGTGGCCCACCCAGTCTCGGGTTTATCTTTTTGATTCTTTGGGCACCGTGCCTTCAATCTAAGCGGCTTAAGGTTTTCGGAACCAATCATTCCTTTTGAGGCGTAGACTTTCATGTCTTGGTTTACCACCCATCTTCGCCTGTTGGCTTGGGATCTGGCCTCACGTTTTCACTCCAATTACGGGGCACCGGCCGGGCTACCGTGCGTGCGATTCCGCGCAGCTCCATGCGCATCTGATCATGTATGTGCCATCACATACAGACCAACTACTTATTTGCGGACCTATCCGTCTATCTATCCCTCTACCTTTTTGCTTGTCTTATTATCTAGCTATCTATCTATCATCTAACTATCTATCTGGTGCCTTAAAGGCTAGTCGGTTAGCCACTCCTTCAGGGGTCCACGTTTTTAACACCCTTCAATCGTGGCGGTGTAGGGGTTTCCGGAACCAATCCTTCCTTCTGAAGCATAAGCTTTTAGCTCTTTGGGACTACCGCCAATCTTCTCTCGTTGACTTCGGATCTGGTTTCATTTTCACAACAATTACGGGGTTCCAGCCTACTATGCGTGCGAAACCGTGAGAAATACCAACGCATCTGCCTACGTTAGAACATGCATGTGTCACGATATGTGTATATGCATCGCTACGTACATATGTAGACGACACAGAGCTGTATCACAATACACAGCTGACATAATTATGTATGTACGCATGTATGTGTATATATGTATGTATGTATATATATGTATATATCTATTGATATATGTATATTATTGATATATGTATATTATTTCTGTATATACATATGCTAACAAAGAGAGAGAGAGAGAGAGAGAGAGAGAGAGAGAGAGAGGGCACATACATATGTACGGTTTATATATGACATGCTAAAACATGCGGCCAAAGTATTTGTGCATGTATCCTAAACAAACATATGTATCTACAGCCATACATATATACATATCGAAATTTAGACAAGGGCCCTTTACCTCATGCTCGACAAGAAGACACTGAGAGCTTCTTCCAATCTAGGCCCTTCCAAGATATCAAGAAAAGAAAGTTCCGCTTACCGCTCAGTCGGCACGAAGAGACCTCCTTTTTGTTTAGGTAAGAGAAGAAGACCCTGACTATCCCTTTCACCCTTCGAAACATGGAAGAGAGCTTGTCATGCTCAAGAAGAAAGGTGGAGCTCCCTCCAACCCTGAAACAAAGACGTCTGGTCCTTCCCTGAAGTTTCACAAGGAAAAGAGTGCTCCTCCACCCCATGCTGTTCCATGAAGACAGCTCCCCTCAGTCATTCGCGGTAAGAGAGGAGAACTTCTTTCTAGAAGAGAACTCCTTTGTTTCTAGAAGAGAACTCCTTTGCCGCGAGTCTCAATCCGGAGAAGAGTGAAGAGATCTCACTCCTAGTAAGAAAAGACAGAAACCCCCCACCAATGTATAGGTTCTCTACCTCGCTATGGCAAGCAAGAAAAAGCTCCCTCCAAGTTGACGAGGGCTCCTTCATCTGTTGGTAAAAGAAAAAATCCTCTGCCGGGTCCTGTACCCAACAACTCAGAAGAGAGGCCCCTCTGATTTCTTGAGCAAGAAGAGAGCTCTGTGGACTTCTGTGTCGACAAGAAGAAAGACTCCTTTTCTCTCGCAGGGGCGCACGCGCCCGACCATCTCCTCCTCCTCCTCTTCAAAACTTGGAAAAGCGATTACGATCAAGCTCCAAACTTCAAACCTTGACAAGGGAAGTCTGGTTCTCCCTGCGGCCTGCAAAGCGACATCAAAAATCCCTCCACCTCATCCTTTGAGACAAGAACAGAGCTCTCTCCAAGTTACCAAAAGAGAGATTAGAGCTTCTTTCTACAAAAGAGCACCTTTACCTTTTGCAAGGTTTTTCATCCTGATCTTAAGCACACCAAGGTAAGCACGCTACCGGTAAATATGGTCAGAGCTCCCTCCGTCTTCCAAACAACGTATAAGTTCTATACCCCGTCCTCAACAACAAGAAAGCTTCCTCCAACGTAGTAGTATTGAGAAAGAAAAGGGCCCCATCTCAAAATAGCAGACAAGTAGCAGAGAGCTCCGTTTACCGCTCCCGTCGCCAGGAAAAGACCTCCTTTCTCTCTTGGCTACGGGAATAAGAGAGCTCCTGACTATCTCGTCCTCGCCCCCTCTGCCCAGCCTTCGAGAACGACAAGATAAATCCTTTACTTCATGCTCCAAAACAAGAACAGAGCTTCCTCCAAGTTACTCTTGGTAAGAGAAGAAAACTTCTTTGAAGAGAACAACTCCATTATCTCTTGCTAAGTCGCCTCTTATTGTTGATTTCAACAATTATGCATAAGTTCTTTACTTCATCAAGGACAACACTAGGATAGCTCGCTGCAATGAAATAGCTTGTCGTGCTCAAGAAGAAAGGTGGAGCTCCCTCCAACCATCAAACAAAGAAGTCTGGTCCTTCCCTGAAGTTTCAAAAGGAAAAGAGTGCTCCTCCACCCCATGCTGTTCCATGAAGACAGCTCCCCCCAGTCATTCGCGGTAAGAGAAGAGAACTTCTTTCTAGAAGGGAGCTCCTTTGCCGCTAGGTAACCCGAGTCTCAATCCAGAGAAGAGAATCCCCCCCACAAGCCCAACAATGTATGAGTTCTCTACTTCGTCATGAGAAACAAGAAAAACTCCCTCCAAGTTCACGACAAAGATGAGGGCTCCTTTACCTCGGGCTCCCTTTTTTGGCAAAGGCGCAAGCTCCCGAAAATCTCCTCCTCCTCTTCAAAACATGGAAGAGAGCTTACGATCAAGCTCCAAACTTCAAACCTTGACAAGGGAAGTCTAGTCCT